CCTCGGGAAAGCCCCCCCCCCCCCCCCCCCAGTTTCGGACCACCCCTCCCCCCGCAAATGTGGGAAGGGTCCCCAAAACCCCTGGGGTGCGAACCGGGGAGCCCTGGGTGCTCCGTGTGCTGCGGGACTGCAGCGCCCCCCCAGCTCCTTAATTAATTAGTGAATTCATTAATTAACCCTCTGCTGGCACTAATTACGGGCACCAGGTGTCACCCCCCCGGCCCGCGGATGGAACTGGGGGGGGGGGGGGAGGACACCCCAAAACCCGCAACGCCCCCATACCCTGCGGGCACTCCCACCCCCCAGCCCATGGAGGGACCCCCAAATCTGCTCTCAGCCCCAAACCCCCCCCTCCCCCCCTCCCGGGCCGGGCCCCGTGGGGTTAATGATTAACGGGGGACAAAGTCCGCGGGCAGCGCCGATTTTGGGGGGGTCCCCCTTCCCCCCGTGGGCTCTGAGTCCCCCAAAATGGCTCCATGCCCCGTGCCCACCAACCCAAACACCCCGGGCAACACCCCGCCACCCCCAAACCAGCCGGGGGGGCCGGGACCCCCAAACTAGGCTGCTGCCCCCCTCCCTGCCGCTCCAAAAGGGGGGGGCCCGGAGGGCAGCCAGGGGTTTTGGGGTGCGGTGGCACCCCGAGAGAAAAGGACCCCACAAATCCCCCCTGGAGGGTCACGGGCACCCCAAAATTGACTCTGATGTCCCAAAAGGGGTCCTGGCACCCCAAAACAAACCCTGGCATTCCAAAACAGACCCAGGCACCCCAAAATGAGCTCTGACGCCCCAAGGCGGGTGCTTGTACCCCCAAACAGAGCCAGGTACCCTGGAATTGGTTCTGTCCCCCCACAGGGTATCCGGGAACCCCAAAACAGACCCAGGCACCCTGAGATGGGCCCTGGCACCCCCTGAGGGAACTGGCCACCCCCAAAAAGACCCTCCAAGAAGGGTCCTGGAACCCAGAAGGGACCTTGGCACCCCAAAACTGGAATGGGTCCTGGTATGCCAAAACGGTCCCAGGCAGCCCGGGATGGGCACAGGCACCCTAAAACTGGCCTGGGCATCCAAGAAAGGAGCCAGGCACCCCAAAACAGGGATTGCTGTCCCAAAACAAGTCCTGGCACCCCTGCAAGGGCCCCGACGCCCCAGGAGGGACCCTCGTGCCCCCAAATAGATATTGACAGCCCAGGATGGGTCCTGGCACCCCAAAACACAGCTGGACATCCAAAAACGGACCCGGGCACGTTGGCACGGTCACAGACACCCCAGGAGAGACCCTGGTGCCCCAGGATGAGTCCTGGTACCCCAAAACAAAGCCAGGCACCCACAGATGGGTTCTGGCACCCCGACACAGACCGGGCACCCCAAGATAGGTTCTGGCACCTGGGAGAGATCCGAGCAACCCAAAACAGGTATTGGCACCCTGGGATGGGTCCTGGCACCCCAGGAAGGGAGCAGGGCACCCCAAGATTGGTCCTGGCAGCCACAGATGGGTCCTGGCAATCTAAAACAGATTCTAGGACCCCCAAACAGACCCAGAGACCCCAAAACTGGTCTGGGAACACCAAGACTGGTCCCAGTCCCACGAGAAAGACTCAGGAACCCCAGAACAGCACCAGGGATCCCAAAATGGATCCCACCACACCCAGACTGATCCGAGCACCCCAAGATTGTCCTGGCAACCCAAAACACCCCAGGCAGCCCGGGATGAGCCCTCCCACACACCCTCCCCCCGCCAATTATCAACACTCCAGAATTTCCAAGGTTTTATTCCAGCAGCAAGCGAAACACCCAGGGGAGGCCCAGACCCCCCAGTGCCCACCCCCCAGTCCGAGAGGGGACAATGGGGGGGTTGGAGCCCCCCGGGGGAGACTGGCACTGGCACTGGCTCAGGTTGTCAGCAGAGGGTGCCTGGTGTCCTGTCGGGAGCTGGGGACCCCCAGGGAAGGGGGCCAGGATGGAGGGGGGACACACCAAGGGGGGAGCTCAGCAGGTCAGGACATGGGGGACCCCCACGGGAATGGGGGAACCCCCCAGGAAGGGAATGGGCTCAGCTGGCCTGGACAAGGGGGATCCCCCCTAAAGATCCCCCCAGGACATGGACAGGAACCCCCAGGGGACTCTGGGGGCTCAGGTGCCCTGGACTAGGGGGGACCCCCCGAGCAGGAAAGAGGGGACTTGGGGGGGGCTCAGAATGTCAGGACATGGGGGACCCTCCCCCCACCTCAGAAAAGGGGGTTCAGCTGGGCTGAACATGAGGGACCCCCCAAGACACAGAGTGACTCCCAGGAAAGGGGGAGGGCTCAGCTGGGCTGGACATGGGGACCCCCTCTCAGGAAAGGGGGTTCACCTGGCCAGGACTTAGGGGGACACCCTGGGAGGGCAGGGAACATGGGGGACCCCCCTGGGAAAGGGGGGGTTCAGTTTGTGTGGACATGGGGGGCACCCCAGAAAGGGGGGCCCAGGAGGTCAGGATTCAGGGTCTGCTCAGGAAAGAGGGGGGCTCACTCAGCTGGCCGGGCCAAGGAATGGGGGTCCCCCAGGAAAGGGGGTTCAGCTTTCCAGGACGTCGGAGGACTCAGACACGAGTTTCCCGTCACGGGTCTCGATCTTCTTGATGACGATGGCACGGGATTTGAGGGGGACCGTGCTCTCGGGGGGCGGAGGTGGCACCGAGTACCCTGAGCTGACCACGGCCCCCCCAAATCCCCCCACAAATCCCGCCCCAAAACCTCCCCCGAGTCCACCTGTGGGGAAGAGGGAGCAGCTGTGAGGAGGGGCACATGGGGGGGCCACCCAAAATCAGAGGGCTCCGGGGACACCCCAAACTCACCCAGGTACCCCGAAGGCTTGGTGTGGATGCTCAGGTTCTGCACAGCAGCCTCGAGCCTGGGGGGGTTTGGGGGGTCCCCCAAACAGGATCAGTGATGGGGTGGGTGGTATTTAAGGGACATGGCTGAAGTGAGGGGGGGTTGGAGGGGGTCCCCCAAACTGAGTGTTTTTGGGGGAGAGGAATAAGGGACATGGTCAAGTGGGGGGGATTTGGGACATTCATGGGATATGAGACATGGGGCATGGAATGTCCATGGGATATGGGATACCCACAGGGTATGGGATGGGGGATATGGGATGTCCATGGGATATGGGATACTCACAGGCTGTGGGATGCGGGATATGGGATACCCACAGGGTGTGGGATGGGGAATATGGTGGGATATGGGATAACCACAGGGCATGGGATGAGGATGTGGGATGTCCATGGGATATGGGATACCCATAGGGTGTGGGATGGGGGATATGGGATGTCCATGGGATATGGGGTATGGAATGTGGGATGCCCATGGAATATGGGATCCTTGCAGCACATGGGACACGGAGCAGGGGATGTTCATGGTGTCCAGGATGAAGGGCATGGTAAATGGGGTGCCCGTGGGATACGGGATGGAGCATGGGACACGGGCTGTGAGATATGGATGCCCAGAGGTTATGGGATGTGGGATGCAGTGGGTTATGGGATGTCAGTGGGATCTGGGATCTGGGATTTGGGATCGGGGCTTCCCACCTGCTCTCCTCGCCCTCCAGCAGCTTCCTGTAGGTCGCGATCTCGATGTCCAGGGCCAGCTTGACGTTCATGAGCTCCTGGTACTCCCGGAGCTGCCGGGCCAGGTCCTGCTTGGCCTGGGCCAGGGCCCCCTCCAGCCCCGCCAGCTTGGCCCGGGCGTCCCTCAGTGCCAGCTCCCCGCGCTCCTCGGCCTCGGCCACGGCTGTCTCCAGCCCAGAGCGCTGCAGGATGGGACACTGAGCCCAGGATCTCCCCGGACCGGTGTCCCCGTGACCCAAAATCCCCAGTACCCCAACATCCCTCGCCCCCTCAGTGTCCCCATGTCCCAGTAAACCCAGTGTCCCAGTATTCCATGTCCTATCATTCCTCACTCCCCAGTATCACTCATATCCCACTACCTCTTACCCCCCTCTTCCCACCAGTATTCCCAGTCCCCCAAATTCCCGTCTCCGAGCCATCACTCTCTCCTCCCGTTTCCCAGACGACATCCCAAGGGATCCTCAGGAATCCAGTGTGGGGGTTCCCAGGGGGTGCTGGGGGATGTGTGGGGGAGGCGCAGGCAGCATGCTTCCAAATTTCCATCCTAGCTGGACCCCAAACCTGATTTTTCAGAGCCTCAATCTCTGCCTGGATCCGCTGGATCCGCCGGTTCAGCTCCTGGATCTGGCTCCGGGTCTGGCGCAGGTCGTCTCCCTGCTTCCCGGCCGCCGTCTTCAGCTCCTCATACTGGACACACCAGACAGGGGTGGCAATGTGGGGCATCCCCCAAACCCACCAGTGCCCCAAAACTGGTAGGAAAAAGCTGGGATGTGGCCAAACTTGGGGGGATAGTCCAGGGTGGGATGCGGTAGGTCCAGCTGGGTTTGGGGCTGGGATCTTGGGGGGATGGAGATAGGAGAGCCCCCTTTTTCACCAGCACCCCAAAAACTGGGAGGGAAGAGCTGGGATGCAGTGGAGGCAGGAGGAATGCCCTGACAGGGATGCAGTAGCTCCAGTTGGAATCTGGGGGGTCCAGCTGGGTTTGGAACCAGGATATTGGAGGAATGGAGACTGGGGGGACCCCTCTTTTCCCCCAGCACCCCAAAATTTGGGATGGAAGAGCTGGGATTTGCCTGTATCAAGAAGGATGTTCCAGTTGGGATCTGGGATCTCAGAGGGAGAGGAGAGAGGAGAGAGGAGAGGAGAGGAAGGAGAGGAGAGGAGAGGAGAGGACCCCTCTCTTCCCCAGCACAGCAAAACCAGGGAGGGAAGAGCTGGGATGTGGCCACACCAGGCGGGATGCTCCAGCTGGGATGCCGTGGGTCTAGTTTGTAGTCAGGGTCTTGGTGGGATGGGGAGGGGGGAACCTCACTTTTCTACCAGCACCATAAAAATCCAGAGGAAAGAGCCGGGATGCAGCGCTGCTGGGAGGGCTGATCCAGCCGGGATATGGCGGCTCCCATTGGGATGTGATGGGTCTGGTTGGGCTTGAATCTGGGATCCCAGTGGGATGAGGCCCCCACTTTCCACCAGCATCCCAAAACGGGGGATGAAAGAGCCTGGGAAGTACTGGCACTGGGATCTGCACCAGGAATGGAGATGGGGGCCCCTCCCTGCCCTGCGGCGCCCCCGGACTGGGGTGAGCCCACGCCAGGGGCAACGCTCCAGGCTGGGATGTGGCAGCTCCAGTTGGGTTTCAAGCCAGAATTTCTCCCACGCAGCAGCCGCTCCCTCCAGGGCAGGGAGGAAGATGAGGAGGATGAGGAGGAGGAAGAGGAGGAGGAGGAAGGATTTGGGGCAGGGAGGAGGAGGAAGAGAAGGAAGTTTCGGTAGGCAGGAAGAAGGAGGAGGATGGGGCAGGGAGGAGGAGGAAGGTTCAGGGAGCAGAGAGGAGGCAGACAAGAAGGAAGGATTGAGGCACAGGGAGGAGGAGGACGGGGCAGGGAGGGAGGAAGATGAAGGCTTGGGAACTAGAAGTAGGATTGGGGAGCAAGGAAGAGGATGAAGAATTGAGAAGCCGGGAGGAGAAGGAGGAAAGCTCAGGACAGGGAAGAACAGAATTAGGAAGAAGAGAGGATGGGGCAGGGAGGAGGATGAAGGCTCAGGGTGTGGAAGAGGAGGAGGAAGTTTTAAGGAGCAGGAAGGAGGAGAAAGTGTCAGGGGGAGGAAGAGGAGGAGGAAGGATTAGGGAGAAAAGAGGAGGAAGACGAAGGTTTGGGGAGCAGGCAGAGAGGAGGAGGATTGAGGGGTAAGCGAGGAGGAGGAAGAAGGTTTGGGGAACAGGGAGGAGGAGGAAGAGGAGGAGGAGGAACTAGAAGATTTGGGCAGCATCAGGGGGTGCTCTCCTGACCTTGACCTGGTAGAGGCCTTCAGCCTCAGCACGGCTGCGGCCAGCGATGTCCTCGTACTGCGCCCGCACGTCCGCCAGGACTCCGGCCATGTCCAGCTGGCGGCTGTTGTCCATGGACACCACCACGGCCGTGTCCGACACCTGCGCCCGCAGCTCCTGCAGCTCCTGTGCACACGGGGGATGGCTTCAGCAGGGGGGCACCCCCCGAATCCAGGCACCCCAAATCCCAGGCACCCCCAAACCTCCTCATAGAGCTGCCGCAGGAAGTTTATCTCGTCCGTGAGGCTCTCCAGGCGTGATTCCAGCTCCACCTTGGACATGTAGGCTTCATCCACATCCTGTGGGAATGCCACTGTCACCCCCTGTTCCCAGCACACCAGGGACCCCCCAACAGACCCTTGGTCTCAGGGACTCCCCACGTGTCGGGGTCCCCCCTCAGTGTCTGGGATTCCCCACCTTTTTGAGCAGGACAAACTCATTCTCCTTCTCTGTGCGGTGGTTGATCTCCTCCTCATACCTGGGCAGGGGGACACAAGGAGCGGGGGGACAGGAGCACACGGAGAAATGGGCATGGGGGACACAGGGACAGGGGGAATATGGGGATGGGAGTTGGGGGGATGTGGGACATGGGATTGGGGTGACGTGGGGATATGGGACTGGGGGACATGGGGACGGGGATATGGAGACAGTAGGGAGAGGACATTGGTGACAGGGGGGACATGGGTATATGGGGACATTGGGACAGGGAGGGATATGAGGATGGGTGACAAGGGAACATGGGAACACAAGGAATGGGAGGACATGGGGACGTGAGGACAGGGGAACAAAGGGACAAGGCGATGGGAGGATGTGGGGACAGAGAGGGCTTGGACCAGGGATGTGGGGACATGAGGATACAGGGAGACCCAGGGACATGCTGGGGACATCGAGGGCCATGGGGACAGCGGGACACAGGAACGAAGGGACATGGGGGTGAGGGCACACAGGATGGGAACACAGGGGTGTGTGAGGGAACACTCAGGGACACAGAGCGGCCTTGAATTCCTCCAGGAGGCTGCAGGCGTGGCCTGGGCGGCATCAGCAGCCACAGGGGGGCTACAAGGTGGCACTGGGGGGCTGTGGAGGGGTCTGGGGAGACATGGGGGTACCCGGGAGATTTGGGGGACATTTGGGGACACTGACTTGGCCTTGAACTCCTCGACGAGCCCCCGGACGTGGCCGAGCTCTGCGCGCAGCCGCTGCCGCTCCTGCCCGAGTCCCTCCAGCTGCCGCTGCAGGGTCCCCGCGTAGCCCTCGAGGAGCCCCCCCAGGCTGCTGCGGGGGGGGGGCTGCGCCCGCAGGAGCCCCCACTTGGTCTCCAGGAGTTTGTTCTGCTGCTCCAGGAACCGCACCTGCAGACGGGGAACAGCACCCCAAAACCAGCCAAAATCACCGCAAAATCACACCTGGGGGAAAGCAGGGTCAGGGGCACTCCCATACCTCAAAATCACCCCAAAATCACCTCCACCCCCAAATCACACCTGGGGAAAAGGGGCTCCAGGAGCACTCCCACACCCCAGAATCACCTGAAAATCACCCCACATCCCCAAATTACCCCAAAATAACCCCCGCACACCAAAATCACCCCCACACCCCAAAATCACACCTGGGGGAAAGCAGGGTCAGGAGCACTCCCATAGCTCAAAATCACCCCAAAATCACCTCCACCCCCAAATCACACCTGGGGAAAAGGGGCTCCAGGAGCACTCCCACACCCCAGAATCACCTGAAAATCATCCCACGTCCCCAAATTACCCCAAAATAACCCCCGCACACCAAAATCACCCCAAAATCACCCCTACACCCCAAAATCACACTTGGGTGAAAGCAGGGTCGGGGGCACTCCCATAGCTCAAAATCACCCCAAAAACACCTCCACCCCCAAGTCACACCTGGGGTGGAAAGGGAGTCAGAATCCCAAAATTACCCCAAATCTCCCCTAGGGGAACGGGTTGGGCTGGAGGGGGGCATGGAGGGGAGGGGAGGGGGCAGGGGGGAGATTTGGGGTCCTGGGGCAAGCTGGAGTCTGCGTGTCCTTGGGGAACTCAGGAGGGGTCAGGGTGTTCCCAAGGGGGTGTCAGTGTCTCTGAGGGTCTCAGAAAGTCCCCAAAGGCGTTCAGGAGGTCCCAGCTGATCCGGATCCCTTAAGGGTACCCGGAAGGGCTTCTCAGTGTCCCCAGGGGTCTCAGGAGGTCCCCAAAGGTGCTCGGGACGTCCCAGCTGAGACTCAGGGGGTCCCAGAGAAGATCTCAATGTCCCCAAGGGTACAGGAAGTCCCCAGAGATGTTCAGGAGGTCCCAAGGTGGGTCTCAACGACCCCAGGTGTCCCAAGAGCTCCCAGAAGCCAGTCCCCAGGATGGTCCCACCCCTCCTCGGGGTCCCCCCAGCCCCACCTTGTCGATGAAGGCGGCGAATTTATCGTTGAGGGTCTTGATCTGCTCCTTCTCCTCCCGGCGCAGCTCCTGCAGCTCAGGATCCACGGCCACGTCCAGCGGCGCCAGGAGACTCCGGTTGATGGTGACGGCCGTGATGCCCCCGCCCGCCCCCGGCACCCACGAGGGTCCCCCGAGCCCCCCGGAGCCGCCGCGGAGCCCCCCGTAGGGGCCGAGCGCCGGGGCCGTGCTCATCCTCAGCGCCGGGCCGGCCGTGAAGGAGCGGGACGAGAAGGAGCGGCCCGGAACGGCCGAGCTGCTCCGCAGCGGCTGCCGGGGGATGGAGACCGACATCTGACAGGGGAAGGTGGGAAAAGAGGCTGGAGAGAGCCTGGGAAGGGTTTGGGAGCTGGGAAAGGAGGTCGGCTGGAGGATGAGGGAGCTGGAGAAGATTGGGAGGAGGTTGGAAGTTGAGAAAGGAGATAGGAAAGAGGTTGGAAAGTGGATGAAGAAGGTCGGGGACGGTTGGGGAGGCTGAGGGGGATGAGGAGGCTGCAGAGAGGATGGAGAAAGTTAGAAGGAGGATGAGGAGATTGGTGCAAGTTCGGAAGAGGGTTGGAGAAGGTCCTCAGCTGAGGAGGACGAGGACGACTGGAGGAGGCTGAGGACGGCTGGAAGAGGCTGAAGAGGCTCAGGAGGATGAGGACGGCTGGAGCAGGTTGGAGAAGGCTGAGCAGGACGAGGCCGAAGGCCGCGCTCGGGGCAGGGAGGCTCCGGCGGCGGCCCCGGCAGGACCGGCCGGACGGGTCGGGGCAGGACGGGCCGGGCCGGGCGGAGCGGCCGGGCGGGTTCCGGGCGCGTTCCCGGTTTGGTTCCCGGGTTGGTTCTCGGGTTTACCCCAGAGCCGGGGGAGGAGAAGCGGGGGGAGGGACCGGAGCTTTAACCCCTTCGGGACATGGGATTCGCGGGATCACCGGGATCCACCGGATCACCGGGATCCGCCAGCACCGGGACGGGAGGGTACGCGGGGGTGGGCTTACCCAAAATGCGGGTCCCCGTGCTCCCCACCCACCTCCGCGCCCCCTCCCGGAGGAGGAGACCCACCGACACTCTCTAGGGAGTGTCCCCAGCCCTGTCCCCACACCTGGGTCTCCCAGTCTGCGTCCCTGACTCCATGTCACCAAGTCCTGTCCACCCAGTTTGGGTCCCCCAACCCCCGATCCCAGTCCGGATCCCCCCAGCCTCAGCCCCCAACCTCTCACCCAAGCCCATGCCCCCAGCTTGTCCCCCATTCTGGATCTCCAGACCAGTGTCACCACCCTGTGTCCCCAGCACCACATCCTCAATCTGTGGCCCCAAACTATTCCCCCAGCCCATGTCCCCAACCCCTGTCCCCCAATCTTTGTCCCTGCCCATGTCCCCATCCTAGGATCCCAAACTATGTCCCCATGGCATGTCCCAAATCCCTGACCCCATACTTTGGTTGGGCACCAAACTGTGCCCCCAGCCCCATGTCCCTCAAGGCAGGACCCCAGCCCCTGTCCCCTGCCCTGTGTCCTCAGCCCATGTCCCCAGATCTGAGACCCCAAGCCCTGACCCCAGCCCTCCATCCCCAGCCCTGTTCCCAAATTACAGCCCAAACTTGTGTCCCCAAACTCTGTTTCCCAGCCCCAAAACCCCAAGCCCTGTTTCCCCGACCTCTGACCCCCAGTCTTTGTCCCCAGCTTCACGTTCCCCAACCTCTGACCCCAGCCCCTGTCCCCAAATCACAACGTGGGACTCTGGCCACATCACTCCAAATCTGGCCCCAGACCTGGCCCCAGACCTCACCAGGGCCTGTCCCCAGTGCCAAACTCAGCAGCAAAATAGGGAAAACATCCCAAAAAAGGCATGGGATGCATGGATGGATGGATGGATGGATGGATATGAGTTCAGGTGAGTTCAGTGTGTGCAGGTGGGTCTGACAGGTGCCAGTGTGTGCGGTGATGTCTCCAGCCCAGACCTGCCCGGCACGAGGGCAGCACACGCTGGGCAAGTCAGCACTTGGGTTTGGGATCCTGGAGTTGGGATATAGAGGGAGCTTCCTTCCTTCCTTCCTTCCTTCCTTCCTTCCTTCCTTCCTTCCTTCCTTCCTTCCTTCCTTCCTTCCTTCCTTCCCTTCCCTTCCCTTCCCTTCCCTTCCCTTCCCTTCCCTTCCTTTCCTTCTTCTCCTTCCTTCTCAAATCCATTCTTTCCCAAATCCATCCAGATTCCACCTGGGGGTGGGGGGGGTCACATAGGTCTCAGCAGCCCAGCCCCACAGGGAGGGTCTCAAGCGCCCCCAGTCCTGTGACGCCTGGGAGGGGACACAATCTGCTCCCCCTCCATCCCCCAGAGGCTCCCACCACCTCCTGCTCCCTCCCTAAATCCCGCCCGGCCCGTCTTATCAGGAAGGAATTTCCAGAGATAACCCCCGAAGGGGGGTAGGGTGGGTCCCAGACCCTGCAGGACACTCCCCCAGGCCCCCAAGACCACCGAGTCCCCCCGTGGAGCAGCGGGGACCCCCTAAACCCTTGACGGCCCCAGCTGAGCCCCCCTCGCCATCAGATGGGGACACTGAGGCACGGAGGGACACGGGGGGAACACGGGGTGGCCGTGANNNGGGGAACACGGGGGGGCGGGGGGACACGGGTGGGACACGTCACCCACCGGGAACGCCCGGAATGTTCCCGATAAGGCCCAGGGTGGGAGCAGCCCCGACACCCCCCCCCTCCCCCCGCGCCCTTCAGGGGGTCCCAGGGGGTCCCCAAAGAGGGACGAGGCCGCTGGACCCCGGGCGGGACCCCCTGGGACCCTCGGGTCCGGCACCTCGGGGACCCCGCAGGGAAAATGGAGAAAAGGAGGGAAAAAAGGGGGGAGAGATGGGGCAGAACGGGATAAAATTTGGCATAAGTGGGGGAAAAAGGGGGGAAAACTGGGCAGGAATGGGGCAAAATGAGGGGAATTGAAGGGGAAGGAATGGGACAAAGCAGAGAAAAACGTGGGGGAAAAGGGAAATGGGAGGAAAAGGGGAAGGAATGGGGGGAAATGGGCAGAAACAGCAAAAAAATGGGGGAAAACCAGCAAAACTCGAGAGAGGTGGGGCAAAATCGGGCAAAAAGGGATAAATGGGACATGAATGGGGTAAAACAAGGGAAGATCAGGCAAAAAGGGTTAAAGTGGGACAAGAATGGGATAAAATGACAAAATAGGGCAAAAAATGAGTGAAATGGGACAGGAATGGGGTAAGACAACAAAATGGGGCAAAACAGCAAAATGGGAAGATTTTGCATAAATGGACTAAAATAGAGCAAAAAGAGGCAGGAATGGGAAGAATGGGGAAAATGAGAAATGGACAAAAAAGTGACAAAAAAAAAAGATAAAGCAAGGGAGGGATGGTGCAAAAGTGGGCAAAAATTAGTAAATGAGATATGAACAGGGCAAAATAGGGGAAAATGGAGCAAAACAGGGTAGGAATAGGGTAAAACAGGGGGTCTCAGGTCAGGCAGGGGCTGCAGCAGTGCAGAGGTCAGTAGGGTGATGTGGGGCTGGCTATGGGGACACGGAAATGTGTGGGGCTGACCCTGTCCCACGTCCCACAGTTCTGGGGCTGACTCCTATTCCTTCATCCCCCACCCCACAGTTATGGGGTCGATCCCGTCCTTCTGAACACACACCACAAGTTCTGGGTCAGGCACCCATCCCTCCAATCCTCACCCTACAAGTTCTGGGGCTGATTCCTTTCCCTCTGCCCCCCACCCCACAGTTCTGGATCATACCCTTTTTCACCCACCCCACACCCCACAAGTTTTGGGTTTGATTCCCTTTCCCCTGCCCTGCGTTCCCCAGTTCTGGGTCAGACTCCCAAACCTCTGCCTCACATCCCACGAGTTTTGGGGCTGATTCTTTTCCCTCACACCCCACTCCTCAAGTTTTGGGGCCGATCCCCGCAGGAACAAAGCCCTGGGCCGGCTCCAGCCGCACCTTCCCTTCCCGGGAGCGAGGCCGTGGGGAGGTGCCGTGGGGCCGCTCCCGGCTATAAATCCCGGCCAGAATTCCCGCCCGGAATTCCATCCGTGCGTCCGTCCGTGCGACTCTCGAGCTCCCGCCGTCGTGTCACCGTCCCCATGAGCTTCTCCCGCCGCACCGTCTATTCCAGCTCCGTCCGCTCCGGCGGGATCGGGACCCTCGGGACCCCCGGGATCGTCCCCGGCCGCCGCTTCGCCCCCCTGGGCAGCGCCGCGAGCGTGTACGCGGGGGCGGGGGGCGCGGGGTCCCGGATCTCCGTCAGCCGCACCCTGAGCAGCGCCGGGGGGGCTTTTGGGGCCGGTTATGGGGCCGGTTATGGGGCCGGCCTGGGGGGCAGCGTCTTTCTGGGGGGCTCCGGGGCCGTGGCCAACGAGAAGGAGGCGATGCAGGACCTCAACGACCGCCTGGCCACGTACCTGGAGCAGGTGCGGAGCCTGGAGCGGGAGAACCGGCGCCTGGAGACCCAAATCCGGGAGTTTATGGCCCGAAAGGGACCCAGCGCCCACGACTGGAGCCCCCAGTGGGAGCTGATAGAGGAGCTACGGGACAAGGTGGGGGCGCGGGGGGGGGTCGGTGTTAAACATTAACNNCTCCCCGACACCTAGGCCCCCGCCCCGCCCCCACCCTGGGTTATCGCAGCTTTTCCGGGGCGAGGCCCTGCAGGGAAGGGGGGCCGGGGAAGCCACCCTGCCACGGTGACGGTGACACGTGTCCCTGTGTCCCTGCGTCGCTGTGTGTGTCCCTGTGTCTGCGTGTCCTTGTGTCCCACTCACCTGTAACCCCCATATCCATGTGTCCACCTGTGTGTCCACCCGTGTCCCCTCATGTCCGTGTGTCCCTCTACTTGTCTCCCATCCGTGCATCCCCGTGTCCATGTGTGTCCCCGTATCCGTGTCTCCCCATGCCCCACCCCGAGTCCCCATATCCCTGTGTCCACTCGTGTCCGTGTCCCCATGCCCGTGTGTCCATCTGTCCCTACATGTCCCCATATCTGCGCGTGTCCCCGTGTGCTCCCATGTCCGTGTGTCCCCTGTATGCACGGGTGTCCTCGTGTCCCCATCCCAGATCCTGGAGAGCACGGTGGAGAATGCACGGACCGTGCTGCAGATCGACAACGCTCGGCTGGCGGCCGATGACTTCCGGGTCAAGTGAGGGCGGGATACTGTGAATACTGGGAATAATGGGAATAATGGGAATGATGGGAATACTGGGAATAATGGGGGTGGGAACATGGCAGGGATGACACGGGAATGAGGGAGTGGGAATAATGGGGGTAGGAATATGATGGAAAAGAGGGAATGGGGTGGGTGGGGATGGAATGGGGATAGGGGTGAAAATGGAGTTGGAAACAAGGTGGGAATGGAGATGGGAATGGGGGTGGGATTGAGTAGGAATGGGGATGAAGATGGAGTGGGGATGAGGATGAGGATGGGGGTGTGAATGGGGATGAGGATGGGGATGGAGATGAGAGATGGGGATGAGGACAAGGATGGAAACAGTTGGGATGGGAAGGGGGATAAGGACGGTGAGGGAGATGGGATGGAAACAAGCATGGAAAAAGGAGAGGGAGTGGGAATTGGGTGGAAATGGATGGAGATGGGGATGGGGACGAGGGGGAGAACGGGGCAATGGGAGTGAGGATGAGGATGGGATGCAGACTGAATGGGCATGAGTGGGAAGGAGAGGGGTACAGGGATGGGAATGGGGTGGAGACAGATGAGGATGGGGCTGGAGATGGTACAGGGATGTGCACAAGGACAAGGGTGGAAATAGGAGTGGGAATGGGGACCAGATGTGGACAGGGACAGGGATAGGCTGAGGATGGAAATCAGGATGAGGGCAAGGTCAAAGATGGAAGCAGGAGTGGGAATGGGGATGGGAAACTGGATAGGGACAGGGATAGGGACAGCTGT